CCACCCGCCCCAATATAGAATTATATCATAAATAATATCAATAATAGTACAAGCACTGTACGAGTACTGTACTGTACTGTACGATACTGACCCAACGACACGACACGACAACCATCACCAGAAGCTTCTTCTTCTTTCCCCTTCTTCCCATTCCATCCCCACCACTAAAAAAATTAAAAAAAAAACCAAACCACCGGCGACCCCTCCATCTCAAGTTCAAAAGTAACACGACAGCCGATTTATTCACCACCACCACTAAAAAAATAAAATAAAATAAAATAAAAACCCTTCCCCTACGACAAGCAAAAACCCAAATCAAATCACCAGATCGTCGGGTTTCCCCCCCCCCACCCCCACCCCCATCCCTTCCTTCCTTCCTTCCTTCAAAAACTGCCGCTCCATCCATCCATCCGGAGTTCTTGCCCAAGGATTCTAAAGACAAAAAAAAAAAACCAATTATTTATCTTATCGGTACTTTTTTTTTTTTTTTTTTTTTTAATGGATGAAATAAATAAAATAAAATAAAATAAAATAAATCGTCAGTCCCAATACGGTTACATCCCCGACGGAACAGAAGGACAAGTTTTATGTGATGAGATTTATTGTATCATAATTGGTTATCCGTTTTTTATCATTATCATTATCATGATTATTATTTAGAGCGGGGTTTTTTGGTGGGGCCGAGTCAAGACTTGTGATTGAGGTTTTTTCTTCCTCTCCCAATGAATGGGATTGTATGATATATAATCACTGGTTTTGATCGAGCAGAGAGCTCCATGTGAACACCGGGCCGAGTGAATGAAGAGGAGGCGTTTCTTAGGGGGGGGGAAAGGGACATTTTGTTGGTGAGTGTGAGGTGCTTGTCTTGTCTTGTCTTGTCTTGTCTTGTCTGTGCAGGTGCTTGTACTGTACATTACAGTATACGTTACCGGTATCTTGATATCGACTCTCATTCGGAGGCGGGAGGATATCGTACTTATCCTACTTGGCTTTACTTCACTTACGGGAATACATACATACGTGTGTACGTACTCGTACAGTCGTGTCTGAAAAGTCTACGTACGCCTGCTTGGCAACACTGCAACCAACAATCACCTCAACATTACTCCCTACCATGGCACCACCACACTCCCAAACCCTCAGAGAAGACCAGAAAAGGGAAATCTATGCCCTCTATAAACATACTGATATGGGGTATGGTAAAATTTTAAAGCTTATGAACCTCTCCAAGTCAACTGTTTCAACAGTAGTCAAAAATGCGAAATCCAGAGATGGAAACATCCATGATGCCCCCAGATCTGGCAGACCAACCAAGATTACTGATGCCAAAAGGCAAGTAATTCTTGATATTATTGATGCTGAGTCTTATTTAGCCCTAAGAGACATTACTCAAAAAGCGAATATTGGACTTGGCAAAGATACTGTTAGTAAGATATCCAAAGAAGCTGGATTTAAGCTCAGGACAACTAGGAAAAAGCCTTTTTGGAGAAAAGGACAGAAGGAGAAGAGAAAGGAGTTTGCTAGAGTGAAGAGGAACTGGACAAGAGCTTGAAAATGGGTGGTTTTTGTGGATGAAGCCACAATTGAATATGATCCAAATCCAGTGGGAAGAAAGGTCAGACTTAGACTAGGTAAAGAGTTGGAAGAAAAGAACTTAAAGCGTAGCTTTAAGTCAGGGCGTACCAACATAGGTGTATATGCTGCAATGATGCATGGAGGGAGGACTGAGCTCATTCTTGTGAGGAAGAGGACTGAGGAGGAAAGGACCAGCAAAAGAGACAGACTTGGTCTCAATTCCCACCAATATGCAACTGAGATTCACCAACCCTACCTCATCCCCTTCATAGAAGCCATAGACAGAGCTCCTCAAACCATCTATATGGCTGCTGATAATGCATCATGGCATAATAGAGCAGAAAACAAAAAATTGCAAGAGGACTGTAGATATCAAAGATTGGCTTGGTCTCCCAACTCACCAGATCTCAATCCTATTGAGAATGCCCGAGAGACTTCAGGTTGTATTAGATGCAGATGGAAGCCATACAAAATGGTAGCATTGGGAAACTATTTTTTTCTATTTCTACTATTATCTATTTTAAAATTGTACTCATATCTTTTTTTTGTTGTGGTCAATATCATTATTTGTAGTGGTAGTGCCGTTGCCGTGAGGGTGCGTAGACTTTTCAGACATGACTGTACAGTATAGTCGTGTCCGTAAAGTCTTCATACCCCAGCGTGGCAACAGTGTTGTCCTCCATTCCCACAACAACCACCTCTACCATGACCCCCCCACATACCCAAAGAGCTAGAGAAGATCAAAATAAGGAAATTTATGCCCTGTATAAACATAATGATATGGGGTATAATAAAATTTCTAAGGTTATGGGTATCTCTAAGGCAACTGTTCAATCAGTAGTCAAAAGAGCTGAATCAAGAGATGGAAATACCCATGATGCCCCCAGATCTGAAAGACCAACAACAATTACCCCTCAAAAAAAAAAGACTAGCTGGTAGAGTCCATTATCGATGCCGAGCCTCATTTAGCGTTATGCAACATTACCAAAAAAGTGAATATTGGTCTGGGAAAGACATCTGTGGATAAGATCATATCAGAAGCTAGTTTTAAGCTTCTGATACCTAGAAAAAAACCTTTTTGGAGGAAAGGACAGAAGGAGAAGAGAAAGGAGTTTTCTAGAAGAAGGAGGAATTGGAGGGGTGCATGGAATTGGGTTGTTTTTGTGGATGAAGCCACCATTATCTATGATCCAAATCCTACTGGCAGGAAGGTCAGAGTTAGACCTGGTGAAGAGCTGGAAGAAAAAAACTTGAAGCCTAGCTTTAAGTCTGGGAGGACTAGTATTGGGGTCTATGCTGCAATCATGAAGGGTGGCAGGACTGAGTTAATTCTTGTGAGGAAGAGGGGGGAGGAAGAAAGGACCAGCAAAAGAGACAGACTTGGCCTCAATTCCCACCAATATGCAACTGAAATCCACCAGCCATACCTCATCCCTTTTATAGAAGGTCTGGATAGACCTTCTGACAACATCTACCTAGCAGCAGACAATGCCTCCTGGCATGGTGGTGAGGAAAACAGAAAATTGCAGTCAGACTGTGGTTATCAAAAATTGCCTTTGCCACCCAACTCACCAGATCTCAATCCTATTGAGAACACTTGGGCTCTGCTCAAAAGAGCCCTCAGAAATCGATTCTCCAGGTTGGATAGGAGGCCTCACAGTGCTGCTGAATTATTTCAGGCAGCAAAGGAGGAATGGGATTTAATTTCCCAAGAGAAGTTAGATGGGTGGATAGATAGGATGCCTGAGAGAATACAGGCTGTACTAGATGCAGATGGTGGTCATACAAAGTGGTAATAATATTTTCTTAAGGCTTATTAGTTCTATTCATATACTTTTCTTAATTGAGTTGTTTGAATTTTTTTTCAATTTTCCATGGAGAGGTGTTGTGGTTGTGTGGTTGCGCCACCGGGGTATGAAGACTTTACGGACACGACTGTACACACACTCACCTTTTCACTATGTACAGTACAGCAGGTACGAATTGGCCTTCCCCTCCTTCTTTCGTTCCACTTCCTACTACTATCGTACACACACACATTTATTCATTTATTTTTATATATCATAAAATCAAAAATCGAAATCTCCACAAACCCGTACCACCGCGAAACCCCACTACCAAAGATACACACATATATGCATCAACCGAGCTGACACCCATCATCCCACCCACACCCCGGATATCAAAAAACATCCCTCCGATATCCCCATCTCTCGTCGGGGACACATAATTCCGACCCAGCAAAATCTGCAACCTGATCCATTCCGCCCACCACCCACCCAGGAGAAAGGAAGAAGGAAAGAAAGCCCCGCGACAAGCATGTAACCAGAGGCCAAAGTTGTGCGTTATGGAAGGGAAGGGAAGGGAAAGCAAGACCCGTTCCACGCCTTCCCCCGAGCAAGAGGGGAGGGAGGAAAACAAATTACACGCAATCAATCAATCAATCGGTCAGGAATATCTGCGAATGCACGGTGGTGTAGCGTACCCTGTAATAATTGGGTTCTCGAACGGAGATGCGATACGTGTATCTTCAAAGTCTGGACGATCAGTCAGTCATTGTCTCTAGGGGTGCGTACAGTTATCTCAAGATATGTTCCAGCAGAATGGAGTAGGGAGGAAGAGAGGCGAGGGGGAGGTGAAATGAGGGACGAGGAACCACGATATGACGCTATGGTAATAACATTATCTTATGAGGAAAGATAGCCTTCCCTCTCTCCCTTTCGAAGCACCGCACAGTGATCAAAACTCCCCCCCTTAGAACCGATTAACTTTACCGCCCCACTCACTCCGTACACAATTCCGTCCGTAGCGTCCGTCCCCCCCCCGAACGCAACGTCCCGGCGCCTACCTTCCTATGGTGCCTGACTGCCCGCCTAATTAAAAAAAATTAAAAAAATTAAATGAAAATAAAATAAAATAAAAGGATTAACAGTCTCCAGCAGCAGCCACGTGGGTAACTCTGCCGAAACCGTGCACCGAGAGACATTAAACTATGATACCGCAGGTTAACCCTGAAGGCGTTGTTCAGCAATAAATGATAACATTGTGGAATTTCAGTTGAGGTTAGTGGAGGGCCAATCATGTCGCAGCTCCCGAGATGTGGTAGGCAACGACACTTATCCACCACACCACCACCACCACCACCACCAAACCAGCTCCCTCCCTCGCTCTCCCTCCAGGGTCTCTTTTTTCGCAGAAAAAGAGAAAAGAAAGGATCCGAGAAGAATACGTATAATCAAATTAAACCTCGCGGTTGTGTACGGATGAATTCCCAACTCGTCAACCGTTATTGAAGGGAAAAAAAAAAAGGAATCTATAATTATAAGAGGTGAGAGGATGACGAGTTAAGCTTATGTAGTAAATACAAGAGGAGTCGAGAAATGGGAGTGAGGTTCGACGTGAGCTCTGTAAAGTTATTCACAGGATTTCTATAAAAGGGAGAAGGGAGAGTCGATCTTCACATTTCGTAACATCATGAACAACCGCGGTGATCAATCCATCAAGCAAGGGATGCAACCGAGACGAGATACTGAATGAAGAATGAGTGAAGGAAACCAAAGAGATGTTCGCAGAGAGCTCGAGATACAAAAGCACCGAGGCCATCGAGCCCAATCCCCCCCCCCCTCTCCTCCGCTCAACGCCTCTCATCACATTCGCCATATTGGAGGTTCCAAAACATAGGTTTAACAATAAAATGGTGGTTGGTATTGGAAGATCAAATAACAAAAAAAACACTAATTCGTGTGCGAGGAAACATTGTCGTTCCAGAATGCACACAACGCCCAAGAATGGGGAGAAAAACGAAACAGCAAGGTATCATCAACTAAAAGAATAATGGAAAATGAAAGCAAACTCCAGAATGCCCGTTTTGGTTATGTCAGACCAACCGCCCGCCACCCGCACGAAATGCAATCATAACTGCTCATCATGAACCTGTTTTTGAATAACTTGACAGGACAGCGTGATGTATCGACGAATTGAGAGCCCCACTCGCCCGTACCGAGTGAAACCACAAAGTATACACAAGTACGCGACCGGCAATTGGCCCCAGGAAAAAATAATGTTGAAAAAAGAAAGTCGTGATAAAGTTGCAAACTCCCTAAGAGGAGCCATCATGAAAGAGCATGTGGAAGAATTAAGCGGCTGAAAGAGACGTCTGCTTGAGACGCTCATCCAGCCTCTGGATGTCTTCCTCTGTCGGTTTATAAGGTTGCTTTTTGGGACTATTTGCAAAAACAGTCAGCAATTATTACAGGCACCCATGATGGACGTAAAACTTACGGATCCCTCAAGCCCGTGTCATCTCTATTACTGCCACATCCTTCACATATCTTTGTCCTCTCTACAAAGGTCGTAGAACACTTCGTACAAATCCAGTGAATCCTACGGCGGGGCTTCTTGTAAGTACGACGGGGGCGGGTAGGAAGCTGCCTTTCCTCCTCACTGTCTTCGGGGTCCAATGAATCATAGTATCCGGGCGGTTTGTTCTTCTTGAATCTATTGTTCCAAAAAAATTATTTAGTCCAAATACCCATTAGATATTCAGGATTATTCAGGGTCACTAACGGCTCGCGTGGGCAGCTCCTGCATCTCGTGTGGCTGCACTTCCTGCAAATCTTCTCCCCGGCAAAGTCGGTCTGACAACGATGGCATTTACGGTGGACCCTCTGGCGTGGAGCCTTACGAACGAGATCCTGTCCACCGGTACGACTAGGTATCGTGAGAGTGACACCGTAGGTCGGCTTCTTCTTCTTCTTCCGTCCAACCACCTGGCCAGACCTCTCGCCAACTTTCTCCTTGCCCTTGCCCTTATCCTTAGGCTTCTTGACACTATTTCCCCCAATCGAGTCAGTAACCATCTCCACCAGCTCCATGCCAGACCACGAAAAAAAAGTGCAAACTTACGGTTGCCTCGGACACTTCTTGCACCTCTTATGATTACACGAATTGCAGATCTTGTCAGGACCGAAAGAAGTCGAGCACTTATGGCAAGTGCGATGAACTCTCATACGAATATCCTTTTGAACACGATCGCTGGGCAGGACAGTTGACAAAGGCCAATCAGCTGTAGAAACCTCCAAACCGTGCTTCTTGAAAAGAGCTTGAGCACGCTCAGCAGCAGACACAGCAGGAGGTGGGATGTTCGTGGTCCTAGGTTGACGAACAGCGGGTCTAGTCCGAGTCTTAACCCTTTGCTGCTCTACCTCTTCCTGGGCCTTTGGTTCGGGTCCCGGCCGGGCGACAGAGCTCGGTTTAGATCTATTTTTTGAGAGGTTAGTTGCGAACACCAAAACTTGGCCCCCGAAGCCCTTGAAGCCAAACAGGAGAGCGTGAACTCACTCAATTGGAGGAACAGCAGTGGTGGGCAGCAAAGGTGTAGTCGGAGTATCAGGTTCGCCAGGACCATCGGAAACGGTTGAACGTCTTGATCTGCCCGGCTTATTCTTAATGCTCAGAACCCTCTTGACCTGAGACGCAAAACGCTTGCGTATGGATCTCTCTCCACCGCCGGCCGAGCCCGAGCCACCAGTGGGAGTTCCAGTAGACATTGTTGCAAAAATTCCCAGTACCGATTATCGAGTTTAGTGTATGGGGGTTCGAACCTTGAAGTGAAGGACCGTGGGGGGAAGGTTGTTGTAAAAAGAGAATGGAAGATCAGGCCGTCCAAGTGGTGGTCGGCCGTGGAGTCGGAGAGGGTGTGAGACGAGCTGGGAAAATAAACTCGGCTGGCGGGCTGGGAGGGTAGAAGAAGGGGAAGGAAGAAGTGGAGGTTAAGACCAGGTGCAACACAACAAATTGACGGGTGAAGCGAGGAGGTAAGACGAGACACAACGTGGTAAGGTGTGCGGTTGTTGGGCCCAATAACTGCTGAATGGGTGATGAGGTGCGGTGGGAGAGAGAAGGCAAGTCCAACGACCAGACAGGAAGGACAGCAAGTGGTAAAAAGGATGGCCTGCTGGCTGGCTGCTGCCCTTTCCCTTCTTTCCTTTTCCTTTCTCTCTTTTTTTCGCTGACCTTATTTCTCAGTTTTTTGGTCTCCCTATCCGCCCCGATTGGAACTGGAACCGCCAAAGGTTATTATTATTATTATGGGACAGCCTTGGGCAAGTTGTCGCTTAGCGATTGTAATATCTCCCCCAGAAACTGGCTCACAGCCGTGAGGGTGGGACCAGGGGGCTGGGACCGAATGGGAATTTAAATAAACGTATTCAATTCTCGCCTCAGTCAATGGGCAAGGTAGAAGTGCCTGTTGGGCTTTTTAGAGGCGAGAACAGCCTACCTTACGCTCAGTGAGAAGGGGAAGATATGGGGGAGGTAAAGGTGAGGAGGATAATGTGTGGGAAGGATGGGGGAAGATATAGGGTGGATATGAGGTGTACGAGTATTGTAGTGCGCCTCTAGTGGATGTGATGCTAGCGGGGACAAGAAGGGGAAGGCGGGAATGCTAGACTAGAGAGAAGGGGCGGGTGGCCCTTAGACTACCGGTAGCAATGAGTGCAGTAGCTAACTTGTGAGCGGTTGCTACCGTAGAAAAAAAATACAGGACATGCAATCCCACACAGTAGAGATCACCACGACTGCTCGATTACAATGTTACCGGTAAGTTATTATACATGGAGAGATGAAGCGATTTGTATGGTTCCGGCACCGAGAGAAAGGAAGGCCAAACCCCGGCAACCTCTTCTTCTTGATTTTCTCATCATTTACCGTTCTACCGTATTACCTTGCCCTCTGCCATACATATGCATACATGGAATCGACAACGCAAAGGATAGAGAAGAGAGCGAGCAGCATGAGGAGGAGGAGGAGCATGGGAAGGAACAGGCAGCCATGCAGAGAGAAGAAGGCTAGTCCGACAACCGCAAAAATGTTCGGCTGTTCTACAAGGATGCAAGTCAGTCAGTCAGTGGTGGGGCGTCTTTTGGTTGGATGGAGAAAAAGAGGCAGAGCTTTTCTGGACCCCCCCAATTCGGCTTGCTGGAACGGAAGAAAGAAAGAAAGAAAAGAAAAGAAAAGAAAAGAAAAGAAAAGAAAAGAAAGAATAAAATAAAATAAAATTTAAGTTGGCCAAGACATAAATAACCAATTCCTTGGGGGGCATACAAGTACCGGTAGCCAGGTGAGTTGGACAAGATGGATATCAGTCAATTCTTCCATTGGGACCAGAGTTCCTGAGATCCCTGAGAACACAGACCCATTTTTTCTAGAGATGGGGAGTCCCTGGACCGTGCTGAACCTAAAAGAGTTCCTTCGAAAATAAAAAAAGACAACCCGAATAGGAACTCCAGAAAAGCCCTATTCTAGTATAGTCAAGGTGAAGCTAGGAGGGAGGGGATGCGCTTGCACGATTGCAGGAAAAGAGGCTGGAATCGTGAACCAAGCCAGCCCTTTCGTGGACAAGAGTAGATTAATGAAGCCCCAAAGTTGTGGCAAGCCATTTCCCACTTCTCTCTCCAAAGCAAGCCCTTTCAAACTTCACACAAACGCTTACTGTATACAGGAACATTTACCACCCTTTCCCCTCTGGGAACGACTCAACACCAGGAGAACCCATCGCTATATTTCCCCGCACTCTTGAAATCGGGGACCTCCAGAGACCTATGGGGATGGATCATGTGCTCAAATTAAGCTCGACCTTGGAGTAGAAGGTTATGAAAATACAAGTAGTCGAGTTTTAGCTGGCACTCCCCTCCTTGCATACGTCTCATCTACGAGTACTCGTACTGTACAGTACCTCCTCCGTTCATGAGAAGCAGGGCGACAAGTTGCTGGCTTCACTTTGAGTGCCCAGGCTCTTGCCGAACTGGTAGAAATACTACCGGTACAATCCCTGGATGGATTAAGCGAGCATCAACTTGGTATTGCACTTGCTTCAGTTGACACCCTGTGGATTACGGGTTACACAACTACCAATCAACCATGACAGCGAGAAAAAAGTGGTTGTGACACACACCGGCAAGTTTCTTGGTTTTCAAAACAAGGAAAGGTTTTGCTCGTTTTTTCCTGTCGAGATGAATGAGCATACAGCTGCCAGATTGGCCCGCAGGTTTTATGGGGTTTTGTTTTGCTTTTACTTCTTTTTTTTTTGTTTTAGTCTTTTTGCTTTGGGCCTCTTATTATCTGCCATGGGATATTTACTTCCCGAACGCAGCGATTTGTGCCCCGGGGAAGCGTTTGCTTTGCGCTTGCATGTACCTACCAAAAATAATACCACGAATTTAACAAAATAGCACTGCGCGCAGCGCCATTAGCACTCTGGCGCTGAGGGAAGTACGAGTAGGTACAGTACTCGTACTTGTACCCGCTTTTCCCACGCCCCCCATCAGCGGCGCGATAGGGTGAGCCTTGGGGGGCAATCTCATAGATCCCGAGCAACCAGCAAGGAGCATCTCAAGTGCGAGCTAGAGAAAAGAGGGGGTGGGTCGCGGTTAAAAGAGGCGCGCGCGCACAACGAGTTTTCATCAGTGATTCGCTCCGTTCACAGGGATTGAAGGAAAGATAGACATGAACAATACAAACTCAAACGAGCGCAAGCACCGCTGCACAAGGCATCATCTCGATCCCCTACAATTCCAAAGGTAATTTGCACCCCAAAGCCACCACGATAGCACCGATTTTCACCTCGATACCGCTTCCCACTGAATCCCCCACCCAGTCCTAGAAGCACTCTTGGGTAGTGCCGATATGTTGCTACTTAGCCGCTCCGCCGCAGCAGCCTCCGAGAGACCTCTGAGAGACCTCCGAAAGCTCATCCGCAATGAGTACTGTACTTGTACTAGTACTGGGCGAGTGGAGACTGTACCGCGTGTGCGAAGAGAGAGAAACAAGACCGCCGTGTGGAACCCTAGCCCAGGTCGGCGAGTCGACCACTCTGCACAATCTTGCGATTAATCTCTCGGCATGATACGTTGTACAGTCGTGTCTGAAAAGTCTACGCACCCCTCACGGCAACGGCACTACCACCACAAATAATGATATTAACTACACCAAAAAAATCATATGAGTACAATTTTAAAATAGATGAAAGTAGAAATAGAAAATAACAGTTTCCTAATGCTACCATTTTGTATGGCTTCCATCTGCATCCAATACAGCCTGAATTCTCTCAGGCATTCTCAATAGGGTTGAGATCTGGTGAGTTGGGAGGCCAAGCTAATCTTTGATATCTACAGTCCTCCTGCAATTTTCTGTTTTCTGCTCCATTGTACCATGATGCATTATCAGCAGCCATATAGATGGTTTCAGGAGCCCCATTTATCCCTTCTGTGAAGGGGATGAGGTATGACTGGTGAATCTTAGTTGCATATTAGTGGGAATTGAGACCAAGCCTATCTCTTTTGCTGGTCCTTTCCTCCTCACTCCTCTTTTTTACAAGAATCAGCTCAGTACTCCCTTCATGCATCATTGCAGCATATACACCTATATTGGTGTGTCCTGACTTAAAGCTAGGCTTTAAGTTCTTTCCTTCCAACTCTTCACCTAGTCTAAGTCTGACCTTCCTTCCCACTAGAGTTGGATCATATTCAATTGTGGCCTCATCCACAAAAACAACCCATTTCCAAGCTCTTGTCCAGTTCCTCCTGACTCTAGCAAACTCCTTTCTCTTCTCCTTCTGTCCTTTTCTCCAAAAAGACTTCTTCCTAGATATCCTAAGCATAAAACCAGCTTCTTTGGATATCTTGCTAATAGTATCTTTTTCAAGACCAATATTGGCTTTGTGGGTAATGTCTCTTAGTGCTAAATGAGGCTCAGCATCAATAATATCAAGAATTACTTGCCTTTTGGCATCAGTAATCTTAGTTGGTCTGCCAGATCTGGGTGCATCAAGGGTATTTCCATCTCTGGATTTCACATTTTTGACTACTGTTGAAACAGTTGACTTGGAGAGGTTCATAAGCTTTGAAATTTTACCATACCATATATTGGTATGTTTATATAGGGCATAGATTTTCCTTTTCTGGTCTTCTCTAGGGGCTGGAGAATGTGGTGGTGCCATGGTGGGGGGGTGGTGTTAAGGTAATTGAGGGTTTCGGCGTTGCCAAGAGGGGTATATAGACTTTTCAGACACGACTGTACCTAGCCGAGTTTTTGTGTGAACTTATAGTTTGAGATTCCTCCGAATGCTAGCAGCGATGGACTCGAGAGTAAAATCTCAGCGCAAGCCTACGAACGGGCCAGGTATATCCATCCATCCACCCATACCGGCAGTATGGTGAGGGAATCCCTTGCTTAACACCTACTTGTACAGTACTTGTAACGTACGATAGTGGTCAAGTGTGTTCCCGGATCTTGTTATTTAGTGGTCGGGAATACCGATGTTCTTTCGCTAAAAATGGCGTTCCCTCAATTTTTTTTGTGGGACGTGTGAAGGAGGTTTCAGCGTCGCGGGTGGAGAGGGAGAACCTACCATACCGTCCTCAATTCAATTATCAGCGTGGTTCAGAGTGCCGGTAAACAGGTCACGACGTATCACGTTCTTTCAATCAGCACAGAATGCTTTGGCCATTTTATGTGTCAAGGCTATACGAGTACCTGTACCCTACCGGGGGATATGAACGTGGGCAGAAACGCCACCTAGGGATTGAGAAGGCACGGTATCAGTCTTGCTTGTTTGAGCGATTCTCACACCAAATTCGTTCTCCATATCCCATGAGGGCAGTAACGGTCGGGCCTCGAGAGTCCCGGGATGCAGTCGAGTGCGAGTAGGGTTAACCACGTCTACGAGTATGATACAGTACCAGTACTCGAGCTCTCGTGCAACCCGAGTTATGATAACTTAAAATGCGAACAAGGGGGGATCTGTATTGGGAAAGTGCCTCGGTGATGCGCACCGCCAGAACGGATAAACGATGCAGCGGCCGAATAGAAAAAGAGAAAGAAAAAAGAATTTCACCACCACACACACTCATGTCAACCCGTTCCTCCGGGATTAAATTGAACCATCATCTTTGTTTGGAGGGATAAAACGGCTGCCCCAAAATGGAGCGTTTCTACTGATCGTCAACATTCTTTTGAATGTCGGAATCTAATCCCTTGAGGAAATACACTATAGATCTGGCTAAATTCTGCCCGTTGACCCCCCCCATCAAGGGGGAGGAGCCGGAGGAGAAACCAATTACGATACCACCGGGTCCATGTACCGTACCGTATAATCTCGCACCGCGGCAACCACGACGATGCTGATTAATAATAACATGGCCTTTTATTGGCTGGTGGGGTCTCTTTTAGACAATTTGGTGCTACCTTGTATCTGTGAAGCCGGCCACCCAGGCGAGATTATCCGGTATAAATATACATGATATGATAAAATGGGAGGAGAAAGG